AACATGCGGGGGTATGCGGGTCCTCCCCCAGAATTCCCCATTTTCCTCCTGAAAGTAGGGGGGGATGATTGTACACGCCATCCCCCCCACGTCAATAAGTGGGGGGGGATGCATCCCCCCCATCCCCCCCGCTATCTACGCCCCTGTGTATGTGTATGTGTTTATGTGCGCGCTATAGCATGAATATATATTTTTTTATTTATTTAATTATTTATACACGAACGCGCGCACATAAACACACATACACGCACGTACGTACACATAAAATGTATCGGTGGGATGACGTAGATCGATGGAACTTTATGTGACCGCGCCATCGCAAAGAACTGATTGCCAAACTCATCGCTCACTTTTTACAGCCGCGTCTTCAAAAACACGGGTTTTAAAAACCTTGAAAAAACGCGGCTTTTCGAGGTTTCCGCGACAACGCGGTGGCGTTCTGAAAAACGCGGGCTCCCCCAGACAAGCGACTACATGACGAATGTTGGCCAGGAAATGTTTTATTAGCCATCCGAGTAACATGCTGTTTGATTTATTCGGTTACAGCAGGTGACAAAACGATCAGAGTTGTCGTGATCTATGTACCCGTGTACTGTTGACGTATTATAATATCATAAATTCAAAGATATAGTATAATAACGCTCATAAGGTCTATGTCTCCCTGGGTACTGCCGGACACTGCGGCTGCTGTTGTTGCTGCTACTAATGTTGCCGTTGTTGCTGACATTATTGTTTGTTGATTGTTGATATTATTGATTGTTGTTATTAACAACAGCAGCCGCAGTGTCCGGCAGTACCCAGGGAGACATAGACCCTATCAGCTTTAATAACCGTAACTGTGCACTAGCTAAAACATATGCACGGAATTAATAAAAGAGAATTTTATCTGGAACAGACTCTCGGTCGTTTACCCTTTATGCCTATTAATAGAATACCGATAAGATAACCATTTGATTGATGAATAATACTAGTTGGAAAATATCAACCCGACCTTTGATTTTGTTCTGAAATATCTTCGGATATATTGATAAACCAATATTTGATGGAAAGGAAACGCCAGCGGAAATATCAGTATATTCGCGCGCGTATGCATGCGTGCGTAGGCGTGTGTATAAAACACACTACTGAATGACTTCACAGTATATATATATATATATATATATATATTTAAAAAGTAAGCGGTCAGAATAAATAGATCTACAGAACGCAAATATAAAGAATACAACACTGCACAATAATAGGAAGAAAAAATTAGCAAATGCTACAACGTGCAAGAAATGCATGAGAATCAGAGACGTCAAGGAACACACACACAAATATATACCGTAGCTCAAACTGTTTGCCGCCCGCCCATGTTTCGATGGATATATAGCGGTACGGCCCACGACAAACACCTTGCCGTGCCGTAATCAGTGTCATAGCTGTACGGCCGCGCACCCCTCGCCCTGACGTGTTCATCAAAGGCCCGCTCGTGTTAGTTTACCGCCGCGTCATTTTTATGCCTCTTCGATCAAATTTCGGTCGGTGCTAGCTTGGAGAAGAAGGAATTTCTCGCTCGCTGTACGTGCGCGGTGGAGACGGCGCTGATGGCGCACGTGACCAGGCAATACGCCGTGATACGACGACACTATAAACACACGCGTATATCTGTTCGCATGCAGTCGCTCAAAGTACAGCAGGCGCCTTAAACTCACAACATTCGTTGAACGATTTCGATGGTTATGTATTTCGATAGGTTGGGATCGTGTGTTCGCGTAGAGGTTTCGTTGATAAGATTGTAATATTTTACGCTTAAATAATTTCAGTAATCATTAGGTGTACTGTTATAACAGTAAGTAATTTCAGTAATCATTAGGTGTACTGTTATAACAGTAAGTAATTTCAGTAATCATTAGGTGTACTGTTATAACAGTAAGTAATTTCAGTAATCATTAGGTGTACTGTTATAACAGTAAGTAATTTTAACGCGTATTTATTACTTGGCTGTACAGAAACGACGGGGTTCCCTCGCATATTACGTACGAAATATGTACAACAGCTTAGAAATTTTAATAGCACTTTTCACTCGGTGTATTCAACAAAGATCGATTTGGATGTACACTTTCTATCGAAAACTATGATAGCGCAAGTGCAACTCTACCATTGTCGATGAGCATTTTTCTTAAAATGAGGTTAGATAGTAGGTAGGCGGTCGTAATTAAGGCCGTAGTATAAAAGGTCGTATATTTCTTCACGGATAATAACAAGAGCGTATTAAGTATGCTTAATACGCGCTTCATAATAACTATAAGTTCTGGCGTGATTTCTATTTAAATTCCCCTATTTTGTCTGTAGGCTGTAACAGGTGCACGTGCTGTTTCGAGCGTTTCTCAATGTCGAACAATAGAAATATAATCAGTGATAATAAGTGATAAATAATAAGAGAATAATATAAAATTCAAATTCAAATAATCACCCGTATTATCTCGCTCCTGTTAGCATACAAATGATATACAATAAAACAAACATAATAAGAGAACCCCAAAAATAGAGCTTTAAATCCAGTGGGGGCATTAAACTCATGCAGTGCTAAACTCAGGGTCATTAAACTAACTGGGTGAAGTATGGGTAACAATCGCGGTTTGCCGCTCGCGTCATAGGTGAGACGGTTGCCGTGAAAATAATGCGGTTTGAAAACCATCGTCAACATTGTTAATCACAAAAAGTCGTATAATGAGAATTTAACCAGCATTTAATTTATATGTATTTAAACGGCTATTCTAACGTCTTATTGTTTAAAACTTTTTTTAACTCATTTTCGGTTATTATATTTTGTTTTTAGTATGGGAATTATTTTACTATATCTTTTATTTATTTATTTGTATTTTTATTGTATAGCGTTGCGAGTCAGCCAGCTAGCCGAAACAGATATCTGTTTATACAATTGTAACTTATACTCACGAAAGCCTATCAAAAACCAACAAACCGTATTACCCCGCCCCCCATTAAATTATTAATTTGTAATATATTAGTTATTTAATATTCGTCAGAATAATACTATATATATACATATATATATATATAATGTATATATATTATTATTAATAATATGTGTATTTAATAATATTTATACGGGTAATTCTACTGCAATCTAATACGAGGTAAGATTAGACTCTTGCTGTTGTCCTTTATTACTAATCTCTAAGTAAACCCACACCACATACTTGTACCTGCTGCATGGCCACGACTCAGTATAGATAACAGTACCAACTCGCGCTAGTCTCGTGTGCAGGAAAAGACCAGACTAGGTATAGACTTGTGTGTAGGAAGATTTTAGCGCCTGCGCATAGTAGACACGAGCCTTCATTATATGTATGGAGACGAGTAGTAGCTCACAGGTAGGTCACCACGCTGCACAAACGAAGCATTATAAATGACCTTTCAAGCCGACACAGCCGAGCTCCTTGTCACACGCGCACTAGTCGGAATTTATGTATTTCCGTACTGCTATCTCTTAGTCGCTCAGTAATGGGGTAGGAAAACTGCTATAGGCCTACTGTTCATTTAATTACACTGAATTTTGTATTTAATATAACCTCGGTGTTAAATAAATTCATCAAACATGAATTACGGTAAGTAGTGCAGAACCAGAGTTAGGTGGGCCGTTCTACTTGTTTACCACTGTGGTAAAGGGGGTTAACTTTCACGGCCGAGAATAGACCTAACCCGTAAGTTTGAGCTCAACTTGTACGTCATGCAGGGTGACTTACGTCATGCAGGGTGACTTATAAGCGGCAATATATTATTGTTTATGATGAGTATTCCCGCTGCACTTGCTACACAAAAAACTTGCTTAACTAAAGATAATTGTATTTGCGCGTACCCGTACGAGAAATTCAAGCCCGGATTTTTAAAACAAGGATTATTTGAGACTACATACCGAAGAAGGGTCTAAACCCGGGTCAATAGAGTACAATGGTGGAAAATATGGTGAACAGTGAGAATCACTGGGTTTTCAGTCTATTACACCTCCAAAAGCTAGTCTTAAATGACCTGAGTTTCAAACACTTGGACTGAAAATCGCATAGGGTTTCTGTCGTGAGGAAAAAACCCTGGATGCATGCTCCTGTACATGCACCGTACAGTCACCGTTAGATTAGCATTTAATAATAATTGATAAGAAATAAAAATATAAAACGGGTACATTCTGTAGTCAAGCAAGCTGCAAAGTTTCCATGTTCTCCTTTGACCTTGGTGATATTAAACACAAATACACTTCAGATATTAGGGTTATGTTAAAAAGTTATATATCTTTACCATACCATTATATTATGCACTTTTTATACCTAAGACACGCGTTCCTATATTGCTTATTTATTTTAATATTTGTCTTAAACTTATAGACAGTTACATGCGATCAAAGTAATCATATTAATGCACTTTTAGCTACGAAGACATGCACAGACAGATTTCGACACACTGGCGCGCACTGCATACACACGCTTCCCATGCAGGCTATCTACATAAACACATACATATAGTATACGCACACTCACATGAAGGCACACACACGCGCGCACCACACACACGCACGCACGCACACACACACGAACACACACATACACACACACACACACACACACACACACACACACACACACACACACACACACACACACACCGTTAGAAGGTGGATGCGTTTAAGGGAGAAGGTGTAAGAAAAAGCAAACGTATGTTCATTCACTGGTGCAGTTACAAATAGAAACTCTCAGTTCAACATTGATTGCGTGATCTCTTTTAATGGGGGTTCTTCCAAATAAAAACAATCCAAAATTTCCAACGCGTGCGGCGGCGGTGGATGTTGACGACGGACAAGTGCTCACCATTGTTTACGGCCGTGTGCAGCTTCGTCATCCACGAGTAGATGACCGGCTGCTGACCTCCGCCGCCTCCTCCGTTCTCCTGCTGCTGCTGCTGCTGCTGCGGATGCTGCTGCTGCTGCTGATGTTGATGATGCTTGGCGGTGATGGGGTCCTCCTCCTCCTCCTGCTCTCCGTGAATTCTCATCGAGCGAGGCGGCGGCGCGGCGACGGCAGACGCTATCGTCGGCGACGACGGATTCGCGCCGGTCATCGGCGAGCCGTGCGCGACGGCGCCGGCCATGACGGCGTCGGGCGCCGGCAGCGCCCCTGCCGACGGTTCCGCGTACTCTCCGAGCTGGTTGTACATGCTCGGGTGCATGGCGGCGCGGTTGCCGTAGTAGTTCTGGTAGTTGTAGTAGTAGCTGTCGACCGGGTACAGTCTCTCGCGCTGTGTGTACGCAAAGTCGCCGCTCTCGGCACCGTAGTAGCCCCCGTACGGCAGCTGTCCGTACTGACCGGCGGGAGCGTCGGGAGCGACGGAGCATTCGTCGGCTCGGCACTCCGATGTGCCGCTCAGCAAGTATGAGCTCATCGCACCATTATCGCTCGCTGATAAGATTTTGTCGGCTGCGTCGTCAGTCCTTATCGCTCTATCCCCAGCCGTTGCTGTTATACGGTAACACGTTATCAGGAGGCCGTCATGGCGGGCGGGTGGTCCGGCGGACGGGCGGACACCTGTAAGAAGCGACAAACACACTGTCCGTCTCCGCGTGCCAACTGTCGTCGTCTCGCGCGACAACTTTCGGGAGCGCGTCGTCACGTGGCCGTCGCTGCCGTCACCGTGCGGCGGCCGGTTAGCCGACGATGACGACGACATCATTAATTCTCTGTCGCGAACGACACGGCGACGGCAGCGCGATGTCATTTGTCACCGTAAATGTTTCGACGCTAAAGGTATTTATATTGAGTGCGTGTGTGTGCGTGCGCGCGATCCCATTTGCACACACGAGCTGCGTAGAGAGCTGTGTGTATATGTGTTAGGAACGGGCGGACGGGCGGGCGGGTTACTGGTTTTGCTGCGGGGAATGCGATATATGACGGAGCACGACAGCGACCGACTGCTGCGATGGGGACAGGCAGGCAGGCAGGCAGGCGACCACAACAGCAGCCGACAGCCAACTCCGGCTTCTTCTCCGGTGTGTTAAGAGGGATATTGAAGCTCCTCGGTAGGTTCAGGGCGAGTAAAGTAAGTGGAATATAGAAAACTAAGTTGGTGGATGATAGGGTGGAGTTGCTAAGTGTAGCCAGGCCGTCCATGAGGCTGCCGAGGCCATTGTAATACAGCCATGCGAAGCAGATATTAAATTAAAAGATGGTTCCTTCCTGCAGACGGTGACGGTCGGACCGCAATCTCTCATTATTCTCCTCACGAGCTAACAAGTCAACGAACGACAGCAGCTCGCTAGCCAACAACACGACAGCGCCATTACGGGCGAATAGATCGAACGTACCGTTGCTTTTGCAACGGTGACCCGCGTCGCCCGCGGAAGTTTTTTCTTTGTCACGGTAGTGATGCGCAGCGCGCAATGCCATCACAATGCAGCAGACGTATAGATAACTACCGTTGCTATAATAGAATTTGTTGCCAACTGTTCGGTGGGACCGCAGCATTATCAGACAACGAGTGGGCCAACTGAGGAAAATGTCAAAAAATCTGTTTGAAGTCCCTCGATATTTTTGCTAATCAGACCAATAGTATGAGTGTACGTGACAAAAATGGTGTTTTTCTTTGTAAATGGCTTCTTAATTACTGATAAATAATATGAATGAATCATATGATGATAAAGTGTCTGATTGAGTATAAGTATACTATACACCAAAAAACACAACGACCAGCCGTTAAGATCACACAGGTGGATTGCGTTTAAGAGAGAAGTGTTTATAAATATGAAAAGAAAGCAAACCGAGATATGTTTGATTATCACAGATGGCTAGCGCAAATGATATTTTACAAATTAGACTAGCATCAGTCTGCGAAACACGTTGAATCCTGGCGGTTGAGTCATCCTTTTTAATGGGGGTTTTCTTCACTCAGCATATAGATAGAACAATGACTCGCCACAAAATAAATTTTCCAAAACCGGCGTGCGGTCGAGTCGTTGGAATGTTGAGCGATGTACGGACATGTGCTACCACCGCAGTATTGTTATTACGGACCAGTGCTGGCAAAGATATGAGCTAATAGTCTCATCACTCAACAGAGATAGAATGAACGGACATAGCTCTGATCGCATTTTGGCTCGCAGCTCCATCACTGTTGCCCACGGGATTCATGCGCCTGCAGAGCACTAGACGTGTCGCTGCGGAATATCACCATGTCTAGCGACCTGCCAGAATTGTGCTCAGACAGAATGTTGATATTGTTATTCACAGAACAAACATATCGCATCGGTGGTCGTGTGAGTTCCTCCTCACTCGCTCTCACCCTGTTGAGAATGGAAAGAGCAATAGCGCATGATACCACGTGATCTATCACCATGTACGAGCACGCAGGACGAGAGGCGGCGGACGGTCTACTCGAAGGGCAAAAGTCGCTAGATTCGCGTTCGGGCTCGACGCGGTAGACCGGTGTGCCAGATTGTCGGCCGCCGGGTGCATTAATGCGCGGGATGGCCCTGCTCGTGCCGGCAAGCTGGCGACCCGGCCATGAGCAGGCGCGTTCGTGGCGCCGCCCGGCAGCGCCACCCTGCGCTAAAGCGTGGAGGTGTTGTCGGTCCGTGGTTGATCTTGCCGAGTTGGTTGACAGTGTCGTCTGGGCATGCGTTTGTGTGTGGTGCATGCGTCCCATATGTGGAAGTGGGTGGTGGCGATGTGACGTGCTCTGTTCGTTGGTGTTTGGCCTGAGGAGAGTTAGTTTCGGAATGAGTTGTTAGTATAGATTGGAGTAGCTGTCGGAGTTGAGCTGTCGGGTGAGTTAGAGGATCCTCTAAGTGGTGGCGGCTGAGCTGTGTAACATGACGACAAATGTCGCAGTCGACTGCGCCTACGAGGTCAGCGTCACGTATGGCGCTCCCGGTACACCGCAGTCTGTCTCGGACTGTCCGACCGGACGGAGCGTCGGGAGCGACGGATCGGATTCTCTCGTAGAGCGAGGCGTCAGGCTCTAAGCGCCCGATTCGTGCACTGTATACTTAGAAAGCGCATGTATAGAGTGTACCCTCATCGACGCCACTCGCATAAGTTTATGCTTTGCCCGCATTTCCGCTGATGGAGAAGTATTTGTTCCGGTGTGTTCAGGACTTGCTCAGTCCGTCAGTCCTTTGACTCTGGCTCGCTATTCCCGCCGCCGAAGCCAGTGTGGCTGCTGTATCTAATGGTAACACACGGTATGAAAGCAAAGTGTTGTGTTTATCAATTGAGACATAAAATCAATGGAGACCGTCATGCGCAGCGGGCGAGTGGGACATGGTGACCGGCGACGGGCGGACGCAACGTGAGAAATACAACTGAAGGCGAACCCAAGCCAACAGCTGGTGACCGTACTCCGGCGTGGGACCACACTCGCTTCGCTCAGTATGCTCGACGATGACAAAGCTCTTTCGGGAGCGACGAACGTCACGTGGGCCGAATGTTTTAAGTCGACTAGCGTACCTTTGATCATCAGCGTGCGGTCGGCCGGACATTAATCCGCTTGTACGATGACAGGGTCGTGCTAGTGAAACGGACCATCATTAAATAAGATCCTAATGGTCTCGACGGAAGCGACACCGCGGCGCATCTGCACGTGCAGGTCGGCGGGCAAGTGACTTAATCGATTTTTTTAGCGTTGGTGCATTATCACTCGCGGATGACGGTATAACGGTAAATGTTATTCGGCGACGCTATTAAGGTGAATTTCGTGTATTAATTGAGCTCGCCGTTTGGTGTTCGTGTGTCGCCAGTAGCGCGACCGGTCGCCATTTGCACACCTACGAGATGCGTATTGGCGGCAGATCGTTGTACAAGCCTCTAACTCCCCGCTGCCGCCAGAGAGCTGTGTATATGTGTTAGGAATGGCGCGCGCACGGCGCGGCGCTGGGTATAAGCTCGGTCTGTCTGGCTGGCTGAGGGAACGCGCGTCACTAATAATTGATGGAGACTATAGAGCGAGGCGGACACCGACCTTGACGAGTCTGTATGAGGGCAGAGCCGAGAGACATTCTGAAGGCAAGCATGGAAACGGGCAGAAAAGACGAGAGGTGCGTGCTCGTTTATAATTGAGTCGCATGCTCGAGTTAGTAAGAGTAACGTCCCATAAAGTTTCCCCTCAATGAAAAGTGTAGTCACTGAGGCGTAATCAATACTAATCGCAGTATAACCACTCATGTTGCCGACATATCTACCGATTAGTAGATATCATGCATAAACTTGATGTCGGTTGCATAGTCGTATACCCACAGAGTGGTTGATATGACTGTCGAAATTTGAATTTTGCGACTTGTACACTTGATAGACCGTTACGAAGGATTCTAGTGTACGGCGAATATAAGATTTCCCCATTTTTTCTCACCAACGTCGTAGAATTCCGACCCCGTCAACGACTCGTCACGAAAAACAGTCGTTGTGGCCTCATGCACCACTATGTCGTATTGGCGGTGTCTGTGGCCCCCCGCATAAGCCGGAGTGAGGAAGAACCATGAAGACTGGCTGTTATTCACCGAATGGATCTAGACCCTCTACACAGCGCACCGCGAGTCTCTTCTGAGTTCACTGTGCGAATAATTGAATATTTCACAAGAGTAGGATCAAATAACTAGTGTATTTATCTACTCTTGAATATTTATGTACTGATGCTCGTGAAACAGAAGTTGCTGTTAATTAAATGCTTTACAATTAATATTTTTTAGGATTACTAGCATTAAATTTTGTCCGCGACTGCCTCGCTGTCTCGTCTTGGGTTATTCTAAGAGTGATCTTCGCAACAGTAGCGGATTATATATATATATATATTATACACCCATTAGCCATATTCTCGGGACGTGTCCATGACTTTAGGAGCGGCGCTCATCCTCTCCCTCCTTCCAGCCCACGCCCACCCCGCGCGAACGGCTCCGCGCGCCAGCAGGGAACATGCGAAACGTCGTTAACATGGAGGTGCACGTAGTTAACGCCTATGTTGTTGGGTGTGTAACATTTTAATTGGCGATTACAGTCAGGTATAGCTTTAGTGGCCGTACAGCGGTAATGGGAGGTGTTGTGGGGGCAACGTGAAAGCTGTTTGCCTGCCGTAGGCGCTAAAGGGAAGAAGAGGTTGGTAAACGTAAAACGATGGTGAGGTAGAGTGAAGAGTTGAACATAGGTTGTGATATATTTAAAGTGTGATTGCTAGAGCCGTGCTTTCCACACTGAATGACCTGTGTCAGCGCGCTAAAGCCCGAACAGCTAGAAGACATATATTTTCTGACTGAAATTTGCGAGCGAATTCCCTCGGCGCTTTAGACACGCCTGCACTGTTGGAGTTAGCAGGATTTTATTGGATTCTCTACGCGAAAGTTCAGCCATTTTCCCAAGGGTCGGCGGGTGAATGATTGTCAGCTACAAGTCTGTTATTTT